GGAGTTTCTGCCCATTTAACTACGACTGATGCTGGACATCACAGTCTCCATTTTACTTCAGTCCTAAAGGTGTTTGATGATGGCAGCTAAGACCTACCACACCAAAAATTATCCAGCCACACGTTAATGGACCTGGCTTTGTTCTTTTGGGAATAGTTATGTTGGAAGAGAAAAGGGTCTTTTCCAACCTCTTCCCATAGATTTGGAAGTGCAGAATTGTCAGAAATGTCTTTGTAAGCAGAAGCATTAAGATTTCCCTTCACTACTGCTAGGAGGTCCAGGCAAACCTCAAAAAACAACCGCATAGCTTTATTGAATTCAGTGAATAAGAGGTGTAGCCTAATACTTTTGTCCATGTAGCGTATCATGTGTTAGTTCCTTTGTCATACGTGCTTAAATGTCTATTCACTGTGTCTAAATGTCTATTCTGACAGTGGCTGTGCTGTGTTCTTATTCAAACTGGAAAAACTGAGTCCATATACTTTGCTGCCTACAAACGAAATGAACTACAAAAATATAAGCCAACAGATTATGATGTTACTGGAAGATTTTTAAAAGTTCTATTTGTCTATCTGTACTTTGTGCCTACCTGTCAGTCTCAAACTCTTGAAAAAGAGAACTTGATCTCAATGACAGAGCTTTTTTAAATAAAAGAATAAATAAATATTAAGGCTACATGTGTGTTTCTACATGAACCTATAGTTCTCCCAGCTGTGCCCACCTGATCGCACTCTCCTCATGGGCCAGAGGACATGTCTGCTAATGGCTGCTGCTGCTTCTTTGGAGCTCGGCAGGAAGTCTTCTCACCCTACCCAGGTGTGCCACCCACTGCCCATCTCCTACATTTAGCACACTCTCACTCCACATGGATGGAAATTTACCAAGACCAGTGGAGAGGAGAGGTGACTAACAACATCATTGGTGCTAGCGTAGGTGTTTAATTTGAATCCCCCTGCCTTTGAAAAGGAACTAAACACTAGGTGGCGATGATTAATCCAGAATGCTTTGCATGTTTGTCTGGTTCCAGGAGTTCACTCAGACTCTGGAGCACATTCAGATCTGTTCAGAGGTGTGGAAAACCCTGAAAGCATCAGGTGCATTTAGCAGCTACACTATTCAAACTAAAAGCAATTTTTATTTGCAAAGTGTAAACTATTTAAAACACAGAAAAGGAGAGTTGAACACAGTTATATGTTATTAAAAAGCTGACATAATTTTTTAAGTCTACTTCATGAAATTGAGCTATAAAAATGTATTCTCAATTTACAGGAAGCTTTCCAATGGACCCGACAGACTCTCTACTACTGCTGTATGAGTTTGAAGCTCGTGCTAAACTGAATGATCCCATAGTTGAGGCAATACTGGAGTCTGTGTTGGAGCTTGAAAGTGTTGAACCCAAAATGTTAGAGACCATGGCAGGTTAAAAAGACCCTCTATTATTAATCATGTCTGTGCTGAAATACCTAAAGAAACACATCAGTGTTTTCAGTATTCACTCTATGCTCAAATTGTCTTTCCTTTATGTAGCCTTGGCAATGGAGCCTCCAGCCTATTTCCCTCTGCTGTGCAAGAAGGCCTTGAGGGTTGCTCTCTTTCTGCACAAGAAACAACCACAGGCTGACCTGGCGCACTGCAGGCACAACCATCACTACCTTTAGCATTTCATTAATGAGCATTTTTTTTCTTTTTAGATTTTGAATGAATAGGTTATTGACTGTTTTTCTGTGTCCTCATCTTAGCAAGTGTGTTCACAGCCTTATCAAGCTGTCCCTCCCAAGTGGCGTGTCAGAGGTGGAGGCCCATGTGCTCGAGGAGGTGTGGAACTACTACGAGGAGGCCCTGTCTATCATTGCAGCCGCAGTGAGTCAGCACCAATCACACACCGACATCCCTCGGCTCCCACCTCCTGTTCCCTCCAACAGGAATGCTCCTGCTATATAATTCACCCCCTCTTTTCCACTCCATGCTTGCCTGCTGTTCTAGAAGCCTCTTTTTATCAATGGGCTATCAGCCGCACTCCAATTAGCAGATGCTTCCATTCACCACCCCTTCCTGCCAATTTGAATGTTAATGCGCTGTACAAGTTGTCACACTGCCGGTGAGCTACAGCTCTGAAAGAGACATGAAATTATTGAGACATTATGCAGCTTTAGAGGCAGAGCACATTTCCCCTTTCATATTGAGTTATTACTTGAAAGCTGTGGAATTCTTTGGATCAAAGTAAATGGACAAGATTAAAGTGTTGTGAAATATGAATGAACCGTCTCCACTGAGTTTGTTTCATGCTCTGTTTTTATGACTTACAAGCATAAGTAAATGTTAATATACAAATGGACAGGATTTGATGAAAGTTTACTTGGCATTTGCTGCCTCAACCCACTGAAAATGATTTGTACAAGACAGTAACCCAGGTGGCCTTTTGAACATCTTCCTGCTCTTCTCCGTAGCCGGACGACTTCCCAGAGATGGAGACCTTGTGGTTGCTGACTCAGGCTTGGAACACTGGGATTTTGCTGTACAGCTTGGCTCAATACCCCGAAGCTGAGAAGTGGTGTGGCCTGGCCATGAGCTTTGTCCGCCACCTGGGATCTCTACAGGAGAGCTATGAGACACAGGTAGAGGACTGGTGGAGAGAAGGAAGGGGATGAAACACTGGGTTGATAGTAGCTTAAATCATCCTGCTGCTTTGTTAAATACAGATTTTTGGCAGAATTAAATCTACATGTCATTGTACAACTCCAGGGTTGCTCATCAAAATACACCAATTATAGTTTTGAAGTTAGCTCAAGGAACTTCACCAGAGGTGATCCTTTAAGTATTGCAGCTTTGTCAAGAGAAAAGTATGGCAATAAAACACAGTCTCATAAGGTTAAACTGGGACACAGCAATGAAAGTAACTGCTCCATTGTACTGCTAGAGGTATAAAAAGCTTAGTTATACAGCTGTTATTTATGTACCCACAGATGTCTGGTCTCTACAGCAAAATCCTGGACAGATTGGACAAAGCAAAGAAAAATGTCAACATGAAAGAATAGACAAACAGGTATAGGTCAGCTGTCGGGAGCCTGGTGCACGCCTGTTCTTCGGGGAAACCTACCTACGTTTATTCAGTTCAGTTTTCAACACCCTAACGTTCTCAATGTTATGAGAAACATTTACCAGAAATTCCAGTTTGGTATGTTCTTTTAAATTATTTTAACTGTGGTGTATTTCTGGTAGACTAGTACATTCATTTCTGGTCTGATTCTTACCTGAACATTTGTTCTAAGCTCCTATCCATTTATACTTTTCCAACAGAAACTAAAAAAAAATAAATTAAATAAATCTACCACTGCAGTAGTTGTTTTTAAAGCCAATCTGTATCCCAAAGTAGAATAAAAGGCACATTAAAATCATATCTGAGTCACATATTTTATTTTCAAACAAATAAACTCTTGTCAAGTCCCAAAATAAAACCCAAACAAAAGTTGCAGGACTGTGTTCCCTCATGACTAGGACAGGGAAGACCATGAGGCCGAGTGTCCTGATAGGCTGTACTACCTGCAGTGACAGGAAGGAAACTACTGTACAATCAAAGGGTTCATGTTTGCAAGCACTTACTGCACAGATGTGCTATAACATAAACATATCATCACCCAAAAGTACAAACAAGAACCCTGTCCCCCCACCCAAAAAAATAAAAGTATATATGTCGTCATTTCTCTCATCAGAACAAAGACCCTCGTCAATTATACACACACAGAGGCATTCAGGTTCCATCTTATCACAACCTCAATGGAAAAGTGTAAAATGAAATCAAGTTCTTTGGGCTTTGACATGGCTGACTGAGGTATGAATACCACACACATTGTTAACAGTCAGCTGTATTTCAACTAAACGCCAGAGTGGACCAATTCTAAACCTCTAATAATGTACTGATCAATGCTCCTGCTTCCTGTGATATTGTGTAGGTTTCTGCCTGCATCACTTTATTTTACAATATATTGTTTTTTTAAAATCTATACACCCAGACACGTTCCACAAGAAATCACATGTAGACAGGCCCTACTTGAGGGAACTGAATTCCCAACTGACTAGTTAGTGTTCCAATAGGCATTTGAAGAGAAATACCAACAATACAGCACATTTGTATGGAAATTATATCTCAAGAGTAGCTCAAACTTTACTTACCTGACATTTGTGGTCTATAAAACATGTTTGTCCCAGTTTGATTCACACATGCATGAAGCACAGGTGAGGGGGATCTGCTGGGGGCTTATTTACATCGTACAGCTACCACACCCTTTGAAACAGTCTGCAAGCAGTTTATAAATGGCTCTGTTCCCTTCGGTAATTCCCTGAACTCTGGTTTTGACACAGGTAATGACAGCTGGTTTAGCAGTGGTGCCTGGCAGGTGGGCACACCTGTTCAGAAAATGCCTGCAGGTACAGGTGCTCTGTGGGTGGGAGAGAGCAAGGGACCCAGGGGTCTAGGTTAACACTTCTTGTTTGGGTTTGGCTCTCTGAGGAGAAAAAAGAAGTATATCCCTTTGCACTCTTCCCAAAAAAAAAAAAAAAAAAGCTGAGGAAGAAAGCAAAAGCGTTCACAGGGTCAAGGGCCACAGCACTCCTCCTTCAGACGTGCTCTCTCACATGCACACATTAACTTATAGTGCCAAGATATGCATGGAAGGATGGTGCAGGTCATTTCAATCCTGGTGACGCCACAAAGCAAACTCAAAGGTTACCAAACTGATGGCCTTGAACAAGCTCCCAGCCTTGCAGAAAAAAGACAGTACAGCCCGATTACACTGTCCACTTGGAAACAGCTTTAGCTAAGCAACAGTGCCTTTGAGTAGTTTGTTCACATTTGACAACTGTGCAATCGCCCAAACGTGGCTGTTCAGTCACGGGGAAATGGTATCTGTATGTTAAGATTCCTGAGCTGGCCAAGCTCACCCCCAGACGTGCCAAGAGCTCAACACAGTGCTTCAGCACCTGCCAACAATAGATTAAGAATTCATCGATTTATAGATGCACAAAGCGTAGGTTTTCTCAAACCCAACTTTAGTGTTTTTGGTTGGTGGACGGGGGAGGGGGATGGGGGGCAATCGAAAACAGGTTATAGTTACTCTAATATTTAGGACATCCAATACAATTATTGTCTTGTTCTACCCGTTTTAAGGCCACCATCATGGCGGCAGATACGACAGTACCGTGTGACCAATCAGAAGAGAATCCTCTGGGAAGGCAGAGAGTGTAATAGGGTGATCTGCTGCTCAACATGAGTTGGGAGGCTCTGGTTATCCAAATTGCAATCCATTGGCCAAATTCTTCTTTAATTATAAAGGAAGAGGGTTGAAATACAGGGGAGGGAAAGTGCCAACAGAGGCAATTTTTTTTCCTTCTTTTCTTAATCTATTGCACTCAAGTCAGGCCTCCTGACAGTTGGAGGTCACAAATAGGAAAGATTTTCCTCATTATTGTGTTCAGCCTCCCTCACAGACAACAGGTAGTCACAAAACAGAATTTGTATTTGATGTAAGGCAGTTTGGTGTTTTGCAGAGAGCCCAGTTACACTTCTCTACCCCCGTCCTTTACACAGAGCAGCTAAAAACCACAAGCAAAAAAAATCCCACAAGAAAAAACAAAAAAAAAAACAAAAACAAAACAAAAAAGGAACTAACAGCCCTCCAAATTGACAATTCTAGTGAAGTGTAAAATGTGTAGTTTTTAATATGTAGTAAAATCTCAGTAGGATTTCATCATTTATTTTGTGATTTCATAATATAAATGTAGAGATTCACAACGCACTTCTTCTTGATCTGCCTCCCAAGATGTCTTTATCAGCTGCAGCACAGACAACTGGCAGATGACCAAACAGCAAGCTGGTTTGTGATAAATAGATCAGTTTGTAGGCTCCTCTACTAATTTCCTCAGTCATTATAAACAAGAGAGATGACTCCTTGAACAGTACCATCAGCAGGGCTCGATTTATCCAGTCTTTTTTAGAAAAAAAAAGAAAAAACCCTTTATTGGTCTTCAACTTCTTGTCTTGCGTGTCTTTTATAATGTGATTTGATGAACATTTACAAAGTGTTCCAACTTGGTATGATTTGTCTCTGATCCCCTGAAACTTCTTTTTGAATCCCAACTCCTCTCCAGATTTCTGCAAAACCTTCTGATCTTCAGTCAGTCCCAGTTCACGAAAGGATGTATTCCTTTTCCCTTTTGTTTGCGGTTGTCAAATTCCTTTGGAATGGCATTTCCAGTCTTGAATGGATTTGTTGAGAAACTCATGCAGGGGTGTGCACAGTCACAGTAATGGTGATAAGACTTCTTTTTCATTTAGAGAGTAACATAATGATGACACTAAAACTTGATATGAAACATATCTGCAAAAAGGAGGTGAGGAGAGGGGCTATTTGGGCTTGGGTGGGGTCTCTGGGAGGCAGGAGGGGAGCTCTGTGCCGATGCAGAGAGGACGGCAGGAAGCTCAGAGTTTCTCTGAGGAGGGGATCCAGATGTAGGGCCCAGACTGCTCCTCAATGATTAGCTTGATTTTGTTGTAGATCTCCTCTAGTGAGTCACCCTGTACAATAGCTGAAGGCAAACACAAAGGGAGAGAGGTGTGTTATTTGGTTGCATCAGAACTAGAGTCCCCCTAAAACCCCAAAAAGTAACCTAATCAAGAAATTCTTCTGTTGATCAATCAATTCAGTTGTTTTATGAAGCCAAAAAGCCAAATCATAAACAAACACACACCATCAGGTCGTAAATAAAACTTAAAATCATGGATTGAGATTATTCACTGAGGTCATGGCTCAAGGGAGCTGGAGGGTCAATTTCCTTTAGACTTACATACAACCACAGAATTCACTGACTTTAGACTTCAATGACAATAAATAACCAGATCACTGAGAAAAAAAAAATCAAAACCTATATTCCAAATTGTAAGTACAAATATTTTTTGTTGGCAATGAGACTGACCTGTGAAATACTCCCCAAAGTCTTGCTCCAGTTTAACTGCCTTGTCAAAGACTTTATTGGCCTGCTCATATGTCTGCCTCTTATTCATCTCCCTGAAAGTGACAGTAGTTACGGTTAATACGACGGACACAGACCAGCTGTGATCTTGATGACAGTATGTACAAAAGCTTCGACTTACATTAGGGCTTCAATGGATTTTGGTTTGATAAAGATGGCAATCGGATAAAGTTGTGCTTGCTGCAGTCGTTTTATGGCATTCCCAGAAACATCCAGAATGCAGTGTTTCCCCTGTAGGCAAGTAGAGAATACTTTAAAATACTCATAGTGGTGAAAATTTTACACTTTCTGATTTAACAGGCCACCCAATCTGGTAACCCAAGCTCACAGAGAAATGCTCGATGCCTACCCTCTCAGCCACAGTTCTGACAGACAAGATGCTTGTCCCATAGAGGTTCTCGTTGAACTGGCCCGCTTCAATAAACTTATTATCCTGGATATCCTTCTCCATTTGCTCTCTCGAGCCCACAAAGTGGTAGTCCTGGCCGTCAATCTCGTTCTCTCGCCTAGGACGAGTTGTATCTGCAGAAGTGAATGGAACAAGTTTATTTTTGTTGCTGCTATTTTGTTTAGCGTACTGTGTAGAGGTGTCGAGTGTTGTCAACTCACGTGGTACACACGAGCCAAACTTGTGGGGGAACTCAGAGATGAGGTCATCATTTATTCTGTCCTTCATTGGGCCCAAAATTATCACAGGTCTTGTGTAGTGGACTGAATCAGAAACACAGAAGGCAAGTGAGGATAAATGTAAAAATCTACAGCACGACAGATTGTGGGGAAGCGATTTCACTTACTTTCCTGTCGAATGACTGGCTCATAGGAAAGAATTGTGTCCTCCTGACCCTCTGTAACAACAAAAATTAAAAAAAATATATGAAATTTTACATCCTGTCTGAAGGAATTACATAAAGCTGCCACAGCTGATAAAACTCCAAAATGAAATATTAGGTTGCAGATATAATTTCACACGTACATTTAAGGACATCTACCGTGTTATTCATCTATGTGGGCAGAGTAAAAGAAACCAGAGAGACCATGAGAAATTAAAGGTGACTCACTCGAACTACTTTCGCTGTCACTTGTGTTGGATGTCAGGCATTCTGCAAAAGCAAGAGAGTTTCAGATCATTTTACAAAACCATAACCACAGTGGCATTCAAGTCAATTCTCTTCCTATGGGTGAAATTTAGTTTCACCTGCCTCAAAGGACAAAAAGGGGAAAAAGAAAAGCACTCTGTTTCTCAGCAACTAGGCCACATAAGAAAAAGGGGAATAACGAAAGCAGAAGTTTGGTTTGGTGCAGCAGCCATGCTCTGGCAGTATTTGGGAAGTGGTTTTAGGTGCAAGCAATAGGAAATTAAGTGCTTCCTGTGTTAACATCCCAAATGACCCACAATCCCCAGGCCAGTGTTTCCTATTGCTAGATCTGTGCCGGTGGCAGCTGATTTCATAGCATAGAAAAGACTGAAAACATACGGCGCTACACTGTAGAGAGAAGGGAGGCAGGAGCTGGTTGACTTTGGGGAATAAAGCAACACCCTGCTCTGGTGATGTATTGTAGCTCTGCGTGACCTTGTATGACAAAACATGTAGAAAAATGTTGTGAGACATTCAAAATAAGTGTAATGTTCACCCAGCCTCTCTTGGGAATGCTTTTTATTTAAAATATATATCCACACTGTGAATCTGAGTAGATGTGCGAGTGTGTTTTTTTCTGTGAGCACACAGGTTTGTGTGTGTGTCACTCTAAATTTTTTTTCTTTTTTTGCATTCCCAGCTGGGCCTGCGGAGACAAAGCATTTTTCTCTGAGCTCAGGGGACAGCTGCTTGACACAGTACAACCACACACTTACTCAAACTCTTTGATCCATAAAAGTCATCGCTTAACCCTGGGAAGTCCTAGGTGTCCCGACAGGTGAGAGCAGAAACCAAGAGAAGAAAGCAGACAGGAAGAAGAAGAGGTTAGTGAGAGTTGGGGCAGGGAGAGAGAAAGAGAGAGAGGAGTGCTGTGTAGTGCTCGCCAGGCCCACTGACACACGGCGCTGTGGTACTCATTTCGCCTGAGCTCCACTTTGTTCATAGTAAGCCACGGCCTTTCAATTACACAAGCCCAATCCCATTAAAATGGGATTTTGACCTGTTAAGTGTAAAAGCTTCGGCCTGGTTAATGAGATTCTTCCTGTTGTGGGTCAGTGACTGACTGGGAAATTGATCAGGCCTTATATTCAAGGAGTAGCATCACAGCATTAGAAGGCGTGTGTGTTAATACAGCCGAGAACACACCCAGCTGGCAGCACACACAGTTAGAACACTCCTCCGGAGCCCACAGACAGACACACCAGAGAGAACCCCACATCTCCAGCTCAGTGGTGCTGGCTCGTGGCGTGTGGGGCATCTCTCTGGGACAGTGAGAAAGGGATGAGAGTGATGCCATCGCACAAACCATCCCTGGAGGTGAGCGGAAAGATGAAAGTTGAGAAACAGAATTGAAGCATGAAGGGGAAAGAGGATGAAAACAACACCCCTCCCCCACCACTACCACCGCACACCCCAATCACACAGCTGGTACTCACGTTCAGACTCCACCAACTCCTGCACAATATTCTCCTTGCTCTTGTAAAACGGGAACTTGCGTGAGAGGTTGAAGCTTTTTTTGCGCTTTACTTTGACTGGCTGCTATTTGATGTGTGGGTGAGAGAGGGGAGGAAGGGAGGGAGGGAGGGGGGTTCAATGAGAGGGTGAAAACAAAAACAGAATGGGTTTCAATGAAGGTACTTCAACACCCATGCAAAATCAAACAAAAACAAATGAAATGTAAACAAACAATTCACATTAAATAATGAAAATGAAAGGCAGGTAATGGGTGGATATGAATGGCACATCAATGTGAAGGAAACAAGCATGCGTTTACCAAATTAAACATCTTCAATAAATTTAATCCTTGTACCACAGAAAATAATACAGACCAAAATTAAAGCTGATTTATGCTTCTGCAAATTACATCTGAGAGATTGTCGTCTGACAGACGTGCAGACATTTTGCAAGTGCACATTTCTTAATATCACTGAGTGCACGAGCTGTGGAGGTTGCGGAAATCTCTTCCTCTTCGCGGAGCCTCTGGGTAATCTATATAGTAATTCGAGAGCTTTTTGTGCTTGCTTCAGTGAGCAGGTGCTGGTCCCTTTCCCACACTCAGGGGGGAAGTAGGCCATCTCCCTGGGAGCCCAGCAGCAGCTCTGAAGACAGCCGCTCTGGCACCAGGGCAGGGAGCAGCTGGCCCTCTACACTTACCCTGTTAGACTCAATCATGCCTGTCCTGGCGTGGAACTTGACTGTTTTTAACCTGGCCCGCTCCTTCTTCTCCACTCTAGGGAAAGAAAGAGAAATATATCAAGTTCAGGCCGGGCATGAATAGGAGTAATCACATTAGCCTCGTCTGGCATTCGTACACCGCTGCAAATGAAGAGGAGTGATACCTTTTCTTGCTTGGAATGACCCCAATCTGCTCACTCTCTCCGTGAGGTGTGACAAGCCTCGCCTGCCACCACTCATCATCAGAAGCGTTTATGACATGAAGGATATCCCCATAAGAGAAGCTCAGGCCTTGGCTGGGCAGACAGCTGTCCCTCGTTCGATCGTAGTCAAACAAAGCTCTGCAAAAACAAAGCCTTTGGTTACGCTCTTTCATCTTGTATCTCTGATCAAATTACTGTACCGAGCATTCGAAGTTGGCACAAAATGACAGTTCTGACTCTGCAGCATTACATAATTGCTCTTTGTTACTTTGTCTATTACTTCACATTGCTTGCATGTGGGCTGCGATTTGACAACATTTTAAATATTTGGTATTTAGAAACGCTTTAGCTGATACACAGTACTGTGCAAAAGTTTTAGGCAGGTGAGGAAAAAATGCTGTAAACAAAGAATGGTTTCAGAAATATAAATGATTGTTTATTGGCTCTAAATGTATTCTGCAGCAGGACAACGACCCCAAGCATGCAGTCAAAGTCATTAAGATGATCACAACATCATCGAGTGTTTCTGGGATTACATGAAGAAACAGAAGGACGTGAGGAAGCCTACACCTACAGAAGATCTGTGCTTAGTTCTCCAAAATGTTTGGAACAACCACCAGTCGAGTTCCTTCAAAAACCGTGTGCAAGTGTACCTAGAAGAATTGACGCTGTTTTGAAAGCAAAGGGCGGTCACAGCAAATATTGATTTGATTTCGATTTCTCTTTTGTTCATTCACTGCATTTTGTTGATTGATGAAAATAAATGATTAACACTTCCATTTTTGAAAGCATTCTTTGTTTTTTCTCACCTGCCTAAAACGTTTACACAGTCCTGCAGTCAGAGATGCCACTCATATTTAGTGACAAAGCCATATACAGTCACACTTGAATCCAACTCATTTATACATTCAACAATCAATTTTTTTTAAAAATGCAACAGAAAGCAACTTCAGACATTTACTAAGGCATGCCATTCATTTTCATTTGCCGTTGCCGCATACTTTCCACTTCAATAGACCACGTTTACAGTCCAGGTGCGTCACTAGCTTGTCTGACAGGTCAAGCCACAGCTACAACTGAATCTAAAACTACCTGCTTTACAGGTTTAAACTTCCCTTGACCCATAAGCCTATATCTACAGGCTACGCCATACTCTAGTGGACAGACAGACTGAGCTCAACATGCATTTTTCTCCTCTGTTCTAAAGACTTGGGCCAGTCTGCTCCTGCCAACTGAAACTGGGAACGTCAATACATAAAGACTACTGGTGAAACTGTCATGGTGCAATATAGCTTATCTCTTTGTGTGCTTACCAGGGAATCGAAAGCACCTTCAACACAGGCTGAGGAGTGATAATCAAATTCTTTCCTTTAGCTACTTTATGGTACCTTAACACAGACAGTGAGAGCACATGTGATACTTTCAGACTAAAAGATTCCTGAGACTGGGCTGGGTGGACATGGCAGCTCCCACATTAGCCGGCAAAACTAGATAGCTTTTCCTGCATAACTGTGGGCTTAGTCACCTGCACAGGAGCAGGCTAGGCTCTACATGCCTCACAGGAATCAGTGTATATGAGAGGCATTTCTCACGATACTCCTCTGACCATAGCAGGCCTCCAACGTAATAACACTTATATACCTTCTGAGACATCCCGATAAGATCCGAGCTACTTTCAGGAGTAACTTTAATATTCTGATAGTTAAAAACAACTGAAGAGGCGGCTTGGCCGTCAGAACCGAAAGGGTAAAGTGAAATGAATTAATGCTTCAGCAGAAATATGGGGAAGCATTTTTGACTGCGGCGTTGCATCACACGGTCCTTTCACCTTGAGCCCTGCGACTCAATGCATTTATATGAACAGAAGGTTGCCACCTGTTTCAATTCCTAAATGAGCCTCAATCCAGTTTGGCAACTTGCCCAAAGTGTCATAACACAGGTCATCTCAACAAGCTCCCCTGTCAGTCGACATTAAACAAAGTCATTGTCATAGCAGGCATCAAAACAACAACAGGGAACGTCTGTTCATCTTTCTTTAGCTGGTGATGAATAGTGTGAACCCAGTAGCCTGAATTAAATGATGTCACGCGAAATGCTTAGCATAAAAAATAATATTGTAACATGTGATCTATGACATTTATGTCGTGCTGCTACTGTCTAACAGTGTGGCCGATTTTAACAACACGTGTGTTTGGGCTTCATCTTCCCCTGCAGACGAGCTGAGGTTTGTTATGCAATAGTGAGATCTTAGAATTGCATGTTGTGAGTACAAACATGAGTATGTGTGTGTGTGTGTGGGTGGGTGTGCCGACTTTACCTGACATATAGGGAGCGCTTCTCACTAGTGCGCAGGGAGCCTGATCCTGAGCTCATGCTGCTGTTCATCATCTGCTCCCTCAGGTCGTGGATCTTGGACTCAAAGCGACTATACTCTGCGTAGCGAGAAACAAACAAAAACTGTGTCAGCGGCGGGTTCTGGAGAATAAACTTTCCCTTTGAAGTTTTACGGTTAATGCGCTCAAAGTTAACTTGGTGCATTCGATCTTGAGTAAAAAGACCAAACGGGAGCATTGGCCTCTGCCTTCTTGTTTCACTACGGTATAATTGGAGAGCTGTGCCTCAGCCAGCGCTGCAGTGAGCTACAGTAAAGAGAGGAAAGGTTGAGCGAATCCTTAGGCTGATTAATGACCCCAGGAACTGATGGTTTATCACAGATCTGCCTCACACATCCAGTCATCTTTCATGTCAGGTGATTAATTACAGGGATTAATTAGGTTCAACACAGGCTCTTTAGTGTGGTTAAAAAAAGCGAAGGCCTCCAACAATTTCAAATGCATGACCATTTGTCATAGGTGTGTAAATCCAGTTGCTGCTCAGGAGCACAGGGATGATGTATGAATCCACCTGGACCTGCTCATTAAGAAAGCTCTCATTAGCCTGCTGTGCACAGCGAGCTCTGGGGCCGGGCTGCTGGAACGAGCAAGGCCACCGCACCATGCAGCACACTGCCAGATAAACAGAACAGCAGATGCATCCAGAAAAACAAGTAGGCTAAGGTGCTCATGTGATCACACAAAGGATGTGCTGGAGCAGTATAAAGACAGCACTGTGAACAAGCAATTTTGTCATTTAAATGTTTCCTCTACTCCAATGGTTTCATGTCGCACAGCTTGCATATCCTCATGAATGTAGCTGTACGCAACTGAATCAAATTATTACTGCCATGTGATGAGATGGAATATTGCTGTAACGATGACACATCTATGCCCTAATATTAATTAACCTATGAAAGAACCAGCGGAAAAGAATCTCATCCAAATTTATTCCACATATCGAGTTGACTGGCATGCCCGCAGGGGTACCTCACAGCTTAATCATCAATAGCTGGCAACACTTCCTGCAATTTGAACAACAAGAGATCAAAGTCCATATTCTGTCAAACAAGCCTGGAAGCAGCCTTGAAAAACAAACACCTACGCCTACAAAGATGATTTAGTTAGTCCAAGCTCGCGGGAAAAATTCTGAGCAGGTGCAAAAACAAGCTTCAGGTTGCTGATCTATAACCCCCTGCCGAAACCAAAAGGATTTTCAAAGCAAACATGGATCCGGCCCAGGCCCGGTGACAGCGCTCCACCCTGATCTCTGCTCAAAGGGTTAACGATACAACAGAGTGACGCTGCAAGGTGAGGTAACCAGACACCGCCTGACTGCCTGTAACCAACAGCAACAGTGTAGCACTCCTAGAACAGGGACAGCGCACACGGAAACAGCCATTCAGACTAGTCCACTTGGCTTTCAGGCACAGGAGAGAGGAGAGAAAAGCAGCACAAGAAGCTGCAGCTTGGGGAAGGAGGGGCCGAGGGAGAAGACAAAGAGTAGCTAAATACAGAGAGACCTGCTTTACAATGCCACCAACCTGAGAACTGTACCAGCAACTCAGGGCAAGTGCACATTAGACAAAGCTAAACGATTAGCTTGATCAAATTCCTAACAGCAAAATGATTCATTTAAGTTCAGTGAGCACTGAAGAGGAGCAGAACTACAATCAGTTTTAAGCCTCTGGGGGAAGATGGGGTGGGAACTATAAGATAACTACAATTTGCTGGCACACCTTCTTGATAATGGTGACACCAGAATACATGAATTCTGCAGTAAATCGGTGTACAGCACAACCCAGTGACTGTAACTGACAGGGGAAAGAAAAACACTAGCTATAATCAACTTGTGCAAAAAAACTAATTTCCGGCAATTTTGGAGTCAGGTCATATAAAACAATAAGGGAAGTTTAACCTGGTACACATTTGAAAGAGAACCTATTAGCTCCTATTTTAACCTCCAGCAGAATGATTCACGAGCCTTTAGATTGGCTGCCCCTCGCTAACAGAAGGTCTAAACAGACAGTGGGCGGGGCTTCAGTGCTCATAGCCAGAGCTGTAGGTATGAGACCATCATAACAGGAATATCTGCTTTCACTGACATCAAAGCAAAGTCATAGAAAAAAAAACATGGAATCAAGAGTTTCGATGTGTTGGCCTCTACTCCTGTTTATTAAGAGCACTGACCATTAATATCAGCATACCTTTTATATGTAAAATAAGGAAAAGCATTATAGCTCCCCCTTTAAAACAAACAAACAAAAAGAGCAGGCTGTGATGGTGCTGAATGAAGGTCACAAACCTTCCACAACATCACCACAGGAGAACACCACCACTGTAGTGAAACCTCAGCCCTGTATTGATCGTTAGTCCTGCCTGAAATACCAAGCACGTGGAGCTACAGTAACGCAAACAAATCTTTCATCAGCGCGGCTTGACAGTCTGGATATCAGATGAAAATCTAATACAAATGAGAACAAGCTCAAATCTCCCATAACAACAGCATTTAAGCATGTGATCACTCACAAGTAGAGATGCAAATCAAAGCAATTTATAACTGTGTGCTAGCCATGTTAATAATCAGCCCAAGAGACAGTCTACCCACATGTTTTAGGGGGGAGGGGGTTAAAATGTTACCTTGATGTCATCATGTCAAGGTAATTTGAGCAGTAGAAATCAATCCGGTATTTGACTAAGGCATTAAATAAACACCTGTAAACTGTAAAAGCAACTGAGTCACAAGCTTAAAAAAAAATAATAATGTCATCACTCAAAATAGCTTCTCCTGCTGTTTCTCGGACACGTGCTATTTAACAAATGACCGACAAAGCATAAAAGAAAAAACAAGAGCTCTTTCATTTCCACTGGCTACATCAAACATTACCAAAGAAACAATCTGCAGCCTCTCTAACAGGAAATACTTTCAGAAAAACAGAAACAATCCACAATTATCTGATAAGACTCTTCATTTAAGAACAGCTATATCTGTCCGGTTAAGAACAAGTCAGGTTATTGATTGAGACATTCAAGACCAGCCCAGCTCTTGCAGGGGATCAATCCAACATAAATCATTCAGTGACATCTCTGCTCACAAGCCCATCTTTAGCCCAAAATTATAAATGTTAAATCCTGGTTTCTTAAAGCGATTAATACTCATGAGGTAGCCTGTATTTTTAGGAGTGACCCACAGGGGAAAAATAGATTAAAAAAAAGAGAGACACAGCTAATAGAAACTGGGACTATTCTGCACCTCTCACTCCCACTGCGTGTCCTCATTAGTCGAACAGCTTTTTTATTTTGGGGGACGGTCGCTTCGCTTTTGATCCAGTTATGCAACACAGCAAGCATGTACTTGTAATGTGAGTGTGCGTTATGTTGACAGGAATAGTCGGGCCAGTGAACGCGCACGCCCCCTTTCCCCGATATTACAGCGTGGAAGGTACATGTAGACCCTGCCTAAAATTTTCCTACAAAAGCCCATAATGCACACTTGTGAGTTTAAATGAGGGTGCTCGGAGGGTAACATTTCCTTCACGGCCCTCCTCCCACTCCTTAAATGCAAAGATTCTGGAGTAATTACACTCATTGATGTCGGGGCAGGGCAGCAGTGTGTGGATATACACCCTTCACTTCCATCGCTTAATGTGAGTTAAAGGCCTGGCAGTGCTCCAGAAAGCCACTGAGAGTTGGGGGCCCTCCCACCACAGCTTGTGTGCCCCATTGTGGCTTCTTGTAGTTTCAGTGTTGGCCTTCGATCACAGGCCCATGGATGCTCAGGCCCCAGCACCACAGAGTATACTCCAGGCATTTTGCCTGGCACAGACTAGCTCTCACTCTCTCCACTTCCCCCCCAGATTGACTGTCCTTGTACTGCTCACTGGGGGTTCCTCCTGCTCCAAACTCAAATGAACATCATGTCTCACACACATACACATACACACCCCCCTTTAGGATGCCAGCAGAATTACTGAAAACAGATCTCAGGTCACCAGAGGGGATACAGGAAGTCAATCATTTGCCAGCACTCGACTTGTTCGTTTGGAGTAGTTTAAAACTGTATACAAACAGATAATTGTCTATCACTGAGTCACAAAGGGGGCACAGAACTGAAAGCAAGATTTGGTATGAAAAACAAAGCTTCTTCTCTTCTAACCACATCATTATTCAAGAAGCTGCCTGAATGACCCGACATGCGAGACAACATAAACTCACAGGGAAGAAACCCAACACCGCACTTTTATCGGTTTTTGATCTCAGTCTGAGCTTTTCATAGACTTTAACCCCAATCTAACTCACAGATCCCACTCCGACTCGGTTTCAGTGGCCTTGGAGAGTTACTGGACAGTTCAGGCTGATGTTTTATTGAAAGACAACGAAGTATGGAGCGAGCATGCTACGACTTATGCCCCGTCACATTCCTGTCATAGTCCAACCTGAAAAGACATATAGACATAAAGCTCGCAATATCCTCCCCATTGTTGCTGCAGTATGAAGTGCAGCCTGTTCAAGTACACTTACAGAGAATGACTGAAGCACTAAGAAATACAGCCACAATCAAAGCTTTAATTCAGCATTAAAAAGAAGGAGTGGTGCCATTTTTTTTGAATCGTCTGCTAATGTTGGAAATAAGGGCAACACGTGAATTCTGCTTTTGTCAGCTTGGAAAAGGGACCTCTGGTCAGAAAGTCGTAATGCGCAGGTGAAGTCGCAAAACTGACACACACACCTGTTTGACCACACCTCTGTGCCCCCACCTATAGGTTTAGGTTACATAAGAACAGTAAAGCAAATGCTGGATGAAATCTCTCTTTGGGGTATTAATTACAACCTAAAGCGACTTCACCTACCTCCAAGTAGGTTTTACATGGAGTAAAAAGCGGTGAAAAGTCGTCAATGGAGTCCAGGTAATGGCAGCAGTTTAGCGTAGACATACTTATGTTAACCACAGTATGGGTGAGGCGATCACATGTTTGCCACTGTAACGAATTCATCTTAAGACTGATATTAATGAGAGCAGGTATAATATCGCACCAAGGCTTCCTCGTGGCTTATGAATGAAGAGCTCACACTTTACTTTGTCCTTCAGGAGTCAAAGTACAGGCGAAGAGCAGCAAACTACGGGCCGTACTGGCAACCAACACAAACATGTTCTACAATGTAACTCACTCTCTTTGTTCGCTTTTCAACCCCGTCGGTGTTTGCCGACACCTTCGACCTTCGTCTCACCTTCGCTGGAGAAAACTCTGGCTATAATCTCGCTGTGGCTGCCGGTAGTTTCTTCATCCAGCCATTAGGGAGTTCATGCGGCTTCTGCTCTTCTGCTGTTGTATCCAAGCCCATCCCCCATCATCGCCCGTACTGGCTGGTAGACATAAAAGTTTGCCGCTTTCCACCTCTTCACTTCGGGTGCGTTAAAGGTTTCCCCCCCTCTGGTGTCGAAATGGAAGCGGAGCTAGCAACTTTCCGCTTAGTCGCCTCTTTCCATCGCTGTGCGGGTCTGTGTGTACAGACAGCCCAGAGTTTGAACAGGGAAGGACAACAGCGGTTTCGTTTGCCCGCCTTGCAGTTGGCTCAACACTTCGGGCTGCTGCTGCCACAAGAGCCGCCCCCGACCGAATACTCGCTGAAAGCCGGCCTATCCGCTGCGCTGCCCTCGTTTGCAGCACGATCTGAGTGCGCATGGGCCGCGGCACCAGGTAAACCCGATTGCACCATTAAATAGATATTTAATCAACATTGTTATAAAGCTGGGCTTGCGAGAGACATGTAGAAAAAGAACCAAAACACACGAAGCCGAGATATCGTGATTTTCGCTAAATGCTGTGAGTCTCAAAACAATCGTTCCTACATTTCCCACAATGCAATCCTCCAGTGCACTAGAAGAGGAGGTGGGAAAGTACAAGACATGCCTGGACCACAGGAAATCGGAATATTTGAAAAGAAATAAACATAATGGAAGAAACATTATGGCACATCTTTACGCTGCACCACAACTGAAACATTTTATATTGAATAACTGTTTTGCAAAACAAATGTTTAGACTCCTTACTACAGCACAAGTCACAAGCTTTTTAAGACTTTAAAGACTTTAACTGATCAAGCACACACATCCATACATATGCAATAATACTAAGTGCAATAATCCTTTCTGTCATCGTTGTATTTTTACTCAGTTTATTTGTATTTGTATTCTATTTTTATCTTATTGTATATTTATTTTATTCTACTGTATATAGTATTTTTTTATTCTATTCTGTACAGTTGTGTACTGTATTTATTCTTATTGTATTCTAATTTTTGCCTCATAACTTTTGCACTGTCCACTTCCTGCTGTGACAAAACAAATTTCCCACGTGTGGGACTAATAAAGGTTATCTTATCTTTTCTTAAGCTTAATCCTTAAATTAAAGTAAAACAAAAAGGGAAAAAAAAAGGAAAAAAAGAAAAAGGAAAAAGGAAAAAAGGAAAAAAAATTAAAGTAAAACATCTCATGGTACAATATAATTATAATTATTCATTCTTTGTGTATCACTTTGATGTTCCTACGGGAGCTGATTATCTATAATACCACATAATAAAATTTATTAGCACATTTAAATTTTATAATCTGCAAAATAATAATTACCAAAGAGAAAGTAGCAATATTTGCATCCACATTAAAGTGCAGTAAGTGGTTGAATTACCTTCTAAAACTGGTTGCTCTCATAAAGTGGAGTTGAACATTATCAGATTACAAGTACTGTAGTTCAGGGGCTGGATTAGCTCACTGGATACAGCAAGTGAGTGTTATGCTGTAAGGCTATTGCAGAGGCCATGCCCTATATTGGTCTTTCTCTCAGCTTTCCTGTCATCTCTTCACTGTCGCACCACAAAACAGACTAAAACAAAAGACCCCAACATGTATTCAAATCAGTACTCTAGTTCAATTGCATTAGCGAGGACCGCCAATCATGATATCAAAGGTTTAGGGGAGGAATATTTATACTGGATCTTGCTACAAGGCTGCAACTTTTTTCTAATTGGCTGGTGCTATCAAACAGAAGGTTTGAACAGCAGGTGGATGGGGTTTCTGTGCTCACAGCGAGAGCTGTTTGCCCGAGATGACCTTATCAAGGATATCCGCCCTCTGAACTTTAGAGCGGTCGAATGTTTGAGCTCTCCAGTCACGGTTAAGGATACAAATATTTGCACTTATGGTGCCTTGATTTCATTTTATTTTTTAATTAGTCATTTCACATAAATAAGCACATTGCATTTGACTTAATATAAACTCCGAGGCATCACCATTTTCACAGGAATAGGAGCAAGATAACCTGAATGACTTATTTGATTTCAATGTAAGCCCCGTCTTGGTACAATGACATATTCACACATTACATGAGATTGTAGGGTCTTACCTTCAGGCCTGTATTGAGCAATGATGGTAACGGTCTGCCCAGCTCTCTTCAGTGCTGCAGCTGCCTGCTCATGTGTGGCATTCCTTAGATTCACACCATTCACCTGTTTAAAAATTAAATAAATACAATTTTAAAAAGCAAAAAGGGGACATTTGGTAAGAAAACTGGTTAGATTTTTAAGATGGCTGGAATCATGTGATCCTTGAGACCTATACAGAAAAACAAATGTAGCAATGCTCAAAATAGATGGTTTCAAGACTTACTAATAATAAACCGAGTTACTCAATAAAATTAGTAAACAAGTATGAAAATGTACAATTTTTTAATGATGTCAGCTGATGAGTCATTAGTTATCTTTTCTGACTGACTCATTTTTTCCATACATGATGTAATATGCTGCCAGATTAAAAGCAAGCTGAAAATAAACCAGTCAAACACAGACTTCAGGGCAGAGGGCAGCTAAGCTCCCTAAGAGTCCATTTGGATTTAATGTCTTGCTCAAGGACATTTGTGAGGCAGATATTTGCTGGCTTTCTAAACAGAGTCCCTCCTTAATGTTATCATCATTATTCTGACAGCAGGAGTTTGCTGAAAACCCCTCTGCTTCAGACTTGTTTTAGTTGTTGACGTGGGTAAACAGAAAGCTTGAAGCTAAAAATACTAACTGAGAGAATCCTGTCGCCCCTCCTCAGCTCCCCGCTCAGGTCAGCCGGGCCTCCAGCCAGGATGAAGGAGACGAAGATCCCTTCTCCATCCTCCCCGCCAACAATGTTGAAGCCCAGACCAGTAGAGCCCTTGTGTAGCACCACCTTCCTTGGCTCTCTGTCAAATAGAGTGGCGGTGTCAGGGTGAAGGGTGGGACATAGAGTGTATAAAAAGAGGCCAAATTTAAAAGAGACGTGGCCAAAACTGGAATAGAATTAGCATGAACAGAGAGTACAGAGACTAGTTTGTTATGTCAATGATCCCAAAATGTCAAGTGTGTCCAGTTTAGGCAGCTACATGCAGCAGGCCTGCAGATGGTTTATTGTAGGCTCACTCTGTTTATATACTTGAATCTGAGAACTTTAAATAGAACATTTAAACGATTTATGTTCAGGACACCACTCGCTGGTAGAAAACGATGATTAACCATATAATAACCATGCATAAAAACCATGCACAACACTGTTAACTCATTACAATAAAACAAGCAGGAACATGATTGGGTCCAAATGCCTGTTATCTATTGGCTACATCTTATGGAAATGTACACACGTGTCAACACTTAAACACCCACTCGTATCAATGTACAATGAGCCGCCTCCTGCTCGACAGACCTGCTGAAGCTCTGCTTTAGCTTTACCCACTATGACTCATCCTCCAGGAGGCTATTCAGACCGCCTCAGTTTTAAGATGCTAGAGAGGCCAAACCGCTGCTACGGTCCAGGCAAAAGCCCTCTGAGAACACACTTCACACAAATGCAAACACACCCACACACACTCTAGGAAGCCCAACAGTCGACTCTCTCTCACTCTTTCACGCACACATGCCGCGCACGCACGCTCGCGCAGATTTTCTATACAGATGAACACATAAACACACATGCATGCACGCAAAATGCAGTTTCCTTTCTCAACAGAAAACACTGCATGGTTCCCATTAGTGGTTTTCTCTCGCAGTACTCAGCCTGCGGTCGACAGGAACAATTCCTGCTCCATCCCTAATGGCTGCGCTCAAAGTCGCTGCTAAGACCATTTTCCCATTGATGGCAGCAGAGGCAGCATTCCAGACTTTCAGAATCATACCCATGAGCAACTGGAAAAATGCTGGAGACTCCTGGATAGTAACATCGTGCTTAAAGAAAGACTGCTATGCATTTTAAATGAAGTGAACTTTGCAGAGATGCTAAGAGCATCACACAAGATAGATCAATATCCATATAGTAGACTCCTTACAAGCAATGTGCTTACAAAAAAAGATTCTGGTAAAGAGATTATATGACTGTGCTGATGAGACTCATAACATAGCTAATTCTAAAAGGCTGTGGATAAAACTTGGAGCATAATGTAGCAAAGTGATAATTGCCTTTGAATATGCTAAAACAACTCACTCGCCTTCACACAAGTCAAGCCTAAAATAACCAGCTAAGCTAATTCATCTCAGCTTGACAAGGCACACAGATCTCCATGGTTACCTGAGGATCCAGAGCCGGTGCTTACTTCTGAAAGAGCATTTCCTAACTGTGCGTTCAGGCAGGCTCCTCACCAGCGACATGGAAGATGAGATGTTGACCGTGAACATGTTCGCTATGCCACATTGCTCAGCTCAGCGCAGCATTACTCCCCGACCCCTCTTCCTGTCTGGCCTTCCGCAGTGAAGTGGAATACAGAATTAGAAACTCCTGGGATCTGGGCCTTGTGTTCCCTATCTCATTCTTGTGTGATGTGATGGGAAACAGCTCCTCTTCGGGCTGTGACAGTTGCTCGCTCCCTATCACTAGTAAGGCAACACATTTAACCCTAGCAGTCCTAAGCAAACAAAAAAACCTCTTCCATTCTACAGGAAGAAGCAAAAACCAAAACCAAACACTCTTGTCTCGCACCTGGAATAATTTGGATGGACTAGAGATTGTCCACGTTTGATCCTCTTTCAAGCAATCCCCTCGTTTCTGCTGTGATGCTCTTGAAGGTTCGGCCCCCCTCCAGTCCAGCACACCAGCATTCCTGTCTGTCAGCCTGGCCCTCTGGACACTAGGCAGATATATTCCCAGAAGCTCCTTGCTAATTTGTCAGAGTAAACCAAAGAGGAGCTCATGGACTGACTTTCATGACTTTTAGGCCTTTGATTTGACGCCCTCATAGTCTGTGGAAGACTTTTGACAGGTGCTTTTCTTAACAGTTGCTGCTGCTGCCCTCCAAGGAGGTATGTGTGTGTGCTTGTGTGTGTTGCTTGTCCATAGGATGTGAAGTGCTTGGTCAGTTACATGGAAAATGGGAGTGAATTCCTACATTTTAAAAATGCAGGGATCAAGTCCTCCCTTTCTATCACAAGACCTGCTCCCCCCATCCCATCCCAACTCCCTCCCACCCCTCCGCCTTTTTCATCCATGCCAGGAATGTAAACAGGTATTGAGCAGCAAAAACCCTCTTGTCTCTGCCCAGCGGTTTCTTTAATTCAGAAACCACCCTCCCCTCCCCTCCCCTCGCTATATTATCCCTCTGTGCTTCACTTTTCTGGCTGAGGCGGTTGCAGTGCAGTCCTAAAGCTCTGAATGGATATCTGGGCTGCAGGGTTCAGCAGGTCATGCTGCCCTGAACTCAGCCAAGTAATTGGCTCTGCTTGGCTGATTAATGGTGGACACTGCAGATGGATGCCATTTTCTCCACAGACAGACACTACCTATTGCAGCACTTTATCTCTCCCCATCTCCAAAACAGATTACATCAGCGAGTGTTCACGGGGACGCACCATCTTCCCTCTTCTTTTTCATTGTCTAAATTTTACCCATAGATTTTTCAGTGTCCACCCCCTTCTTTTTCGGGGGCTGCTCTTTTCCTTTAATTTGACAGGAAAATATTTATTCATTGCTAAGGTGATAGACTGTTCATTCTCCGTGCTTCTCACCGTGACTAAGAATAAAATCTGAGTAATAAATGAATAACACCTAAGTTGGGAACTCAGCTGAATCTGCTGTGGTTCTTTTAATTCTAAACCCTTCATTTAACTCGCAAACTAAAGGTCATTGTGTTATCCAGATTCTTGAAGAAAACAAAACAGTCAAAGGTTGTGTTTCCATGTGTGCAAGAGACACATAATGTTACTGATTAGCTCAGCTGCTTCGACAGTACTAAGGCTTCTGTATTTACACAGGCTGTGACTAAACAAAGAGGCCGAAGCAGGAGGCATTGTTGCATACAGTACGGGGAAAACATGCAAACTAAAAGTGAGAATGCATTTCAAAATCATGCCATAAAGTTTTTGTTTCCTTATTAACTTTACACAGAAGTCCTTAAGCTGAAAAACTAAATCAAAATATTTGGTGGGACTATAGCACCAATTCTCCTAGGTACACTTGCACATACTTTTTCAATGTTCTTTCAGCAACTTTGAAAACTTTCTTGCAGTTTTGTGTATTTAGACTGTCTTAGTGCCTTCTGTCTCTTCGTGTGATCCCAGACTGACTCAATGATGTTGAGAACAGGGCTTTGTCAGGCCACGCCATCTGTTACAGGACTCCTTGTTCTTCTTGTTGCTGAAGATGCTTTTTTCCCCCTTTTCTTGTTAATATTACTCTCACTTTATGTTTGGCGTCTTTATCAAAATGTAGGATAAATTTAGTGTTGATCAAATGCCTCTAAACATGTAAAATGCCTAAAATGTTTGCACAGTAATTTGCATCTGCAGTAAAGCCTGACAGGGCTAGTAGAGGGTTGTTGCTTGTTTAGTCATCTTGCGCCCTGTCAAGACTGCATGCAGATGTATGTTTACACCAAACATGCATACTAATCTTTTCTTGAGTCCATTGTGGACGGAAACAAGGATTTAAAGGATCGTCTGATTACACCATATAATATAACATATCTCCAGAAAGGGGGGTAATATCAGATGGAGAAGGGGGTGTCGGGGACGTGTCTGCGATGACACCACTGAGGGGGATGTGCAGATGGGCAGAAGGCCGATATAAGCTCTGACTCATTCCTCACAACAAGTCTGCTCTACTTCTGTGGAAGCCTGTGCCTACTATAGCATCCATCTAAAATAACCCTTCGTGTTTGGAGCCAATGAGGAAGCTTTGGGGATTGGAAAGAGGTGTCTGTCCTGTGCCCAATGGAGTAGAATGACGAGAATGATGAGATCGAGTGGTTTGTCACTCATGATGTCCTCAGAGAAAATGGCTTTTGATTCTGATACCCAAATGCATGCACGGTCACCATATGCTGGCTGCTCTCACTTGCACAGTTGGCTTACAAAGTGTCCGGTGTTCTTGATCGATATGCACAGGTATGGCATGTGTCAGTGTCATAATTGCATGCTGCACTTTAAGCATGGCACGCGTGTGTTCGTGTGTGACAGCACACTGTGAGCAAACATGTCAGCGTACAGTAAGCATGTGTGATTGGTGCTGGCAGTACGGGTGATGAGAGGGGTAAGACCTGAGTGCATGGCCTGGTTTTCCCAGCGTGCATATGAATCATGACAGCTGCAGCACTGTCTGCTGCCCTGTACAGGATCAGGCTCTCTGTTTACATTTACATACATAGAGAAGCAGGCAAAATATTTCACCGCTCCTGTCATCCACACTAGCCTTCAGTTCGACCCTTCCTTTCAAACACCACATTTACCACAAGCATTTAGTTAGAGTAGGACTACAGTCACTCTCCTTTGCACTCACTGCAAGGCATATATGTTACACAATAAAGGTAAATTACATAAAAACAATGGTTTACACACAGACATCAGTGCAGTCATCCATGAAGTGATGGAAAATGGACAAAACTGTGGCTGTAGAAACAAATAAAAAGAAAAACATTCAATTAAATCAAACACCAGGAGGCCTTTTGCAAATTTGATAATGCCAAACAGAAAAAACCCCAAATGCAAGCCATAAATAATATGTATATTATGTCTTCAGCAGTAAGCACTAGCCAAAGTAGCTTTGGCTGGAGATATAGGCTTAGTTTTATCAATGCCTCCTGACAGATGGAATTGAGCAGCTTGTGGGAGCGTGAAGCCCTTTCGGCTGCACTCCTGCGGTGATGTGTTTGTGAAGAGCAGGTACGACTCCATTTTAAACTGCGGTGAACAAAGCACTACTGTTTGAGATTCGCACATATGAGCAAATTAGCAGGAAATCAAATATTGACCGAATGGGAGTAGGCCGTTTAAAATATGAAAAGCACAAAAAAAGCGGCAACGAAAAAAAAAAGAGAAAAAAAAAATGAAACAAAGGGCAATAACTATTGAGATTTTCTTTTCACTTGTTCTCTACTCAGTGTTCTGTCGATGCTTGTTTCTTGTGAAGTTGTGAAAGATAAAGTAGTGGTTCCAAATAAACTGAAAGAGCCTCAGCAAAAATTTACATGCAGACAGAAAACGAAAAGAATTCTCAACATAAATATCGCCTGCCTCGCCCTCCAGCTCTCCTTTCCTCCCTCCTCCCTTGGTTAATCTTAATCTTCTCTACTGCTATTTATGTGCACAGATGTGGCCCAACACACTACTGGTAATCCTGATGGGTTATATGCCCTGGCATTTTTCTAAGTGCCGAGCTACAGAGAGGAGGGTTAGCTAAGCAAGGTATGATGGACTAGGTTAGTACCTGCCAGAGAAGGGGAGTGGACCTTGGCACAAGGGAGCAGGGGAAGGACAGAAGCCTCTGTAGAGGGCCTGGGGCACCTTGCTGTCCCCAGGTTTGTGGATGACACTGTAAATAGGTTCAGCCCTGCTGTGGGGTACAGGAATCACAGTGAACGGGACAAGTGTAGGACACAAATAAAGCACACATACCAACAAAGATGCGACAAAATGCACATACAAGTCATGTAGACAGCTTGTACAAGGACATTACAAGGCGACGTAACACTCGGCCAGTAAGACAGCACACATAGACACCCGCATGCAATCACACAGACACACACACACACACACACACACACAGAGGGAATACAGCCTCTTCCCTAGAGCTGTGGGTTAAGCTGACTCAAAGCCTCATGGGACACTCCAATCAACCCTCTATGAATGCTACTTCTGATCCAGTACTTGGATAGGAGGTCAAAGGGTAACACACGCTCGTAACAAGTATAAGATGTGACAAAAGACTTCTCTCAGCACACAGCTGCCACACACTGTCCAGCTATTAAGTAGTATGCACCATCGGGGCCTCGATGAGATGAAAACTGCAAGCTAAGCAGATTCTTTTGTTAATCAAACACTATAAGCTACTGTAAACAGGTGTATCCTTGAAGCCACCACAACAACGCTTGTACAAAAGCAACAAAATAGAGGCTACTGGGAACAAAATACGGTCCATGTTAAATTAAAATAGTTACATAATTTATAACCGTGTTTCTTTAATACAACTACACCAGCGAATACCAAAAAAGGCCAACAGCTGATCTCCACCAACAACCTGTGCTAAGACTTAGCCAAAGCTACGCTTATACAGCCTTATGAATGTCAGGTTATGGAGGAGGATCATTCATGGAAGAAGCCGGTCTTTAACGTACCTCGTGAAGTCTTCCTCCCCCATCATGTGGCGTGGAACGGGCGAGTACCTGGACGGGGTGACTTGGGGTGGCGGGTACACTGGCTTGGGTTCCATTCCCCCCATGTAGTTGTGGCTGACGTGGTTGTCCACCATGGTGGGGAAGGCTGGAGGGAGGGCCAGGCCAGTAGGGGGAAAGAAAGAATGATTACAACACCTGTGCAACAGGAGAACTGCACAAAACATAACTGCATAAAGCTGGTTAATCAGATATTACCAGCTCCTAAACGACAGCTTCATTACCATACCAAGACACTGCTTTATAATGATAATATTCACCCAAATATAAATATGATTTTTGTGTCTCTGTGTGAACCAAAGTGGGAACACAATGAAATAAACTGGGGAAAAAAGAATCCATGAGCAGATTAGAATACTTACTGTTATCTTGTTTTTTAGCTCCATATATTTATTACTGGACTCTTACTAGACTGGCTTTGCATGATTCACAGCTCAAAATAATCCCCTTGTTAAGTATCTTTTACTGGAGCCAATCACTTCACCCATGGTCTAAAAAGAGCTTCTCATAAAGCCAGCTTTCTTCTGATTGGCTGTCCCTTGCAAACACAAGGTCAAAAAGGTAGGTTAGTGATGCTGCTCAACCCATAGCCAGAGTTGTGTGTTTAAAATGACCATAATTAAGATGTCCTCTTTCTATATGTATGAGGAAAAATCATAATTGATTTACCTTCTGGGAATGTACAGTACAACCACAGATTAGGGGACCCATGTAAAAGGGAATAATCCTTCTCTACATAACTCTTTATATCCATCTCTCTGGAGTACAGCTTATCGATATAAGACAGTTTGAATTATATACGCCTCCAAACAAGTTTTTCTAACTTCTCTGTTTCTTTATAACTTGTCTGATCATCTGACTGCTTGTATTTCTGACCACATCTAACTTCTTATTAACTTCTTTCCTGCATTCCCAAAGCTTAGCAATTAACTTGGTGAGAACGATGATATTATTAGGAGTAGAAATAGTGGCCAAAACCACAAAAATAGGACCCAGGTTTTCCTTTAAAGTACCACTGGGACATTTTTTATAAGCTGGCTCGCTTTTTTATGCGCACAATGTAATCTATTGTTTCTGCTATATGTCTGTTGCAAAATGGGGAACTACCACTGACTAATATGTGAAGGCATGTGCCACATTTTTCTAAAAAACTGTTTCCTTGTGCATGCACATAGCAGACAGATCACACACATGAACAAGCCTCTTCTTCTGAATTTACAGTTTTAGCGTTAGCCGAGCGTGATAAAGCAAGTGAACTACTTCACTTGCAAATCCAGAACCACATCTAGATTCAAGGGTTAGTTAACTTAAACGCAGACGACTTCAAACATTCGGAACTTACAAAACCTTCGATAGCCCCATCTAATACTAAATCACTGTTGTGTGGAAATTTGAGATGCTGCAGCTCAAGATCGTGGGCTCTCATGAGCAGGTGGGATGTGAGAAACCATCCACACTCAGTGGGAGGCAGAGAACTGTGCTTGTTGTTGCTGTGGGAAGGATTGTGTGTCTGTGTGCGCGTGTGTTTGTGTGCACGAGCGTTCACTACATACACTATGTGGGTGTCTGGGCATAGCAGTTTTGGGGAGAGAACAGTGAACCAACAGAAAAATTCAGAAAACATCGCTGGTAAAGATGAAACTTTAAAAAAAAAAATCATATAAAAAAATTACTCTTTACCTTACATCTCTAATTTTGGAGCTTGCTGATTATTGATTAGCAAATTTGCACTTATAGTACGACTACAAGAACAGGAAGAGGTAGATACGTACTGCTGGAGTAGTCTGGTGGGGCATACATGTCGTTCAAATGCACAGGTCCCGGCTTGGCCACCTTGAGGTAAACCATATCGGAGGTGTTCTTCAGCGCAGCTACTGCCTCCTCATGACGCACATCCTGTAGCACGATGTTGTTCACCTGAATGCGACGATAGTCCAGAAATCAGAAGAGGGGGAAGAAAAAAAAAATCTTTGTATCAACACCTGAAAGCCTTGTGTCTCCTGCTGCACTGTGACAACATCACGCATCACAGCAGTCATCACACCAGCCAACACAATAATGAATCATAGCTTGAAGGTATTATGAGATTTCAGTACATTTCAACAGCAAAGTGAAAGGTTGGTGTGCCGTGCAGTGATAACAGAGGTCAAAAGCAGTAGGTAGAGGTTTGAAGGATGCTCTGTATCTCTCTTTACTGTTTCTCTTTTAAGATTCAGGTCCCAGGAAATATGCTGCCAGTCAAAAGTTATTCCAGCAGTTTGGTAACATTAAACCAATGTGCTCACTTGCAATAATGCAATAGAGAACAGGAAATAATGCCATGTTTCTTGATCAGTCTATGATCTGTAGCAGCATGCCACAGTGCCACCAGATCTGCATTTTAACTACTGATGTCTTTGAGTTGACATTTTTCTTTTGTGTGCATTTCTTTCAAAGGCCAATTTTCTGCCTTGCCTGCAACTTCTTCAAAATGCAGCAGCACAGCTTGTTTAAGCAGACGTCACCCCAAATCCTATGTTTTAAAAGTGATTTTAAGATTTTACTTTTCAGTTTTAAACCACATCTAGGTCTCACCCCTAGCTACGCTGCAGAAATGTTGCAGCTTTAGATCCTCAGGTGGGGCCCTTCTGGCTGTTTCAAAGTCGAGGCTTAAATCTAAAGGTGACTTTGGGTTTCCCATCAGGGCCCCTCTGATTCAGAACAACCTTCCTGAAGAGAAGAGGTTTGTAGAATGTGGGACTTCTGAATGTCTATAGACTTTATCTGATGTCTTTTTAAAATCTTGTTTTTCAATTTCATTTTCTTTGTAAATATGATCTAAATTTTCTTGTTGTTGTCTCAACCTTGCTTTAATTTCATTCAGCTTTGTTTACTATGAGTAACACCACGTCTTATACCTCAGTATCCTGCTTCTTGTGTTTGTCAAACCATTCTTTCCCTTTTTATTTTGTGAAAAACTTCTTCTTCTTATTAATGTTAGTAGTAGTAGTATTTACTAAAAAGACAAAAGCTAGGCTACAGAAGCCTAATCACTTGTCCAATCTGAGAAAAAAAGGTCATGAATGTTACAAAGGTGTTAGAGAATTTCGTAAAATATATTGTGTTTGTATTTAAATAATGATTAATGACAGCTCAGTGATGAGTGCAGCGATAATTACTTGGACTTTTACTCATGAATGCTGATTAACGATAGTTTTTTTTGAAAAATATCTGCCTTTATCAAATATTTCTCTCTCATGCCCAGCTGAGGGGCTGCTTTATTGCCCCAATTCGTGACTGTGTTATTTTTCTTATAAATTATTCTAAGTGCTAATAATGTTGTCACATTTAGCTTAAAGTCACAGGATGTGACACCTAAGTAAATAATGTGATGCACCTAACATCTGAGCACTCAGTCAACCCAGTATATTTTAGTGCCATGCAAGAAGTATTTTCCATCTTCCTAATTTCTTTATTTTTAAAAAAAAAAAATATTTGTTACACAAACATAATCAGTTTTTTTCTCGCCAGCCCACAGAATATATGTTGGGAATCCTGAAGATGCTTCTGACAAATTTGAGACGAGCCTTTATCTTCTTTTCGGTCAGAAGTGGCTTTTGCCTTGGAACATGGAGGCCATATCTGTTGCTTTTTGAACAAACAAAGCTTACTTTGTCTTCGGGTTCTGTTTAAGTGGTTTCTTGATTTAAGAGGTCTGGCAGTAATCAGGGCTGGGTGTGGATAGTAATGTGATTAATGCGATTACTCAGTTAATTCGTGATTTAACAAGAGGGTGGCAATTCCTATTTCCCACAGGACCAGGTAGGTTTGGATTACTTTTTCCCTTAAAAAATGAAATCATCACTTAAAAACTACATTTTGTATTTACTCTGGTTATCTTTGTTTAATATTAGAATTATCTTGATTATGTAAAACAAGTAACTATGACAAATATGTAAAAAAAAAACCCTAAAAAAATCATAAAAGGGACAATTTTTTTCATAGTACTGTACTTGTCCGGTTATAGAAATAGCTTTATAGAATGACTGCAAGGAAAATGCTAAATATCTGTTTAACTTGCAAGTGAACCACATGAATAGCTAATGAATTCATTTGGATTCGAGTGTCAGATATGCGAGTGAGTCAGAGGAAGGTGCAGGCTCCTACAGCGAGCAGCCGGTCTCCGGTTTGCAGTCGTCCATCTTTTTGAGCAGCGCCACCTTCTATAATCTTGGTAATATAGATGCTGTTGTCTCCTGGGATATGTTGATTCCCAATCCCTCCAGCAATGCTGAATCCCAGTCCTAGGTGAATAACAAAGACAGCCAGTGCTTTAACAAAAGGATCACCCCAGACTGCATGCTTTCATTCCAGGTCCTATTTGTAAGATTATGTTATTTATTACCTTTTAAGCAGCACTGCAATCACTTTCAAAAAGAATATGTTAACACTGACTCTAACCTTTGGGCCCTTTCAGCAGGTTGACCTCCAGAATAGTCTCAGGTGGGGCCTGTCTCCGTCGAACCAATAACCTCACCACTGGTCCTGCCTCTTTCAAGGCTTCCACCGCCCGGCTGTGAACCACCTCAGACACATCGACATCATTCACACGCAGCACGCAGTCGTTAACCCTGTGAAAGAAAAGGTTTAAATGTCACATGTAAAGTGCATGGAGTTCTGTGGAGTTTACTGACTGCATAAAAAAGGGAGACCCAAGCAAAGCCAGTATAATCAGAAACCTCAAAAGAACATGAAAAAGAACTTCCATATCATAATTTCTGCATGTTTCAGGCTTTGGTCTTCCAGTGAATCATAAGTCTGAGGAAGCACACAGAGCCTGGGGGCAGAGGGCTGTAGAAACTCTGCCTCCCACACAGCGCTGCCTGGCGGGACGCAATGTTGGTGAGCGTTAAAGATGAGAGTAGAGAGGTTAGAATAGAGAGAGTATAGAGGATGTAGTGGAGCTTAGTAAGAGTTGAAGAAATAGGAGGCAGCAGGAGGAAGACGGTAACTTACCCCAGCCGCCCATCCATAGCAGCTGCTCCTCCTGGGATGATCTTGGTGATGAAGATCCCTGGATCATCAGGAATGTGGGGATTGTCTATTCCTCCAGCAATGCTGAAGCCCAGACCAGAGTTCCCCTGAAAATAGGTTATGATTAACATTTTCAACATGATACGATAAACAGCAAACAAAGTAAGCTCAAGGTTAGTGCAATTTATCTCTTTTAGTGTATTTAAATCATGTGATAGATGCAAAATGATCCAGAGATTTCTCCAGGCACTTCCTCATGCCCGTTTCTGTGGAGGCTCGTGTGTGTGACCGCACGTCCCCACGTGTGACAAATTGAAATGCCATTAGAAGAGGGAGCATGTACTCTATGAGCCCACAGAGAGATATCTGTGTATGAAGTACATTAAAAATCTGGGGTAAAGATGAGCTCAGAGTCATCATTTCGGTTGCCTGATACAATGCTTCTCACTCTCTGCAGGAGATGGATACTGCCACCTCCTGCCGTCCCTGTCCCTGAAACGACAGAGGACCCATTTTGATCCAGCGGGACCAGGCACACTGCTGCATCTGACAGCCATGGCCACAGAGACAGGCAGCAAACAAGACAGCTGAGAAAAGACTTCGCTTTATTATTTTCTATAATTAATGAGCAACAGTCGCAACAAATTAGGACAGAGGGAGGCTGAGGCCTCCCAGTGTGCTGCTCTGGAGCCAAGAGGAGTACACTGGGCCTTACCACCAAAAGTTACACACCCACAGACCTTTTAAAGTGTGTCTGTGCATAGTTTATTTAAGCTTTCTACATGGAGAAATGCCACTTAGAGCGGAAGGGGCAAAGAAATATGCTGCATCTACCGTGGGTGGAATAATGAGAGCAGAAATGTACAGTATAGCTCTGCCAGTAAACCTGAGCCACCGCTGACAAGTGCAGCGGTGGCTGCTAAACAATTGCACAGGAAGGTGCTTTACATTTCTGGCGTCTGCTGATGACATGTGTATCAGGATTATGTAAAAAGCCATGCCTAGCTGGCGTTAATGTGGGTCACATAGGACATCACACTTACGACGTTGCTAATGCAGTGAGAAAACGCCTGTCTTCACTTGCATAAAATTTTATATAAATTAACAATCATTAAGATTTGTCTTTGGTATTCATTTAGACTGAGCTGCTTACCACCACCTAGTGGGGAGAAATCCATCAATCATCAGAATGAGGATACTGTGGGAAAAAATGCATCCACGATGTGTAAAACTTACCCTCTCCAAAATGATCTCTTCATATTTATACATCCCATCACTTCCATTAACCTGCCAAAAACAAAACACAAAAAATGAACAGCATGGTTAGTGACACCTCTGAAGACAAAGTATGTAGTTTGCCAACACGTAAGAAAAATGGGACGTGTACAAATGCTTCGGCAAAATCCTTCATTGTATGTCCAAAAATGAGAAAAAGATCAGACTGAATACGAGAAACCCAGTAAATCGGGATTAGTGTCAAAATATGGCTTTACTATATATATGAAAACCGCCACACATTCCTTAATGCTGTAAATGAGAGGTGCATTTCTTTCTTAAAATGCAAACGCTGTAAGAATACATGCGCAACTGCAGAATGCACAATCCCAACAAACGGGCAGAGTCAATAGGAAAATGGATGTCGGTCCACATGGCAAACAGCATGTTGCTGCCAGGAGGAGGCCTTTTCATCCACACACACTCGCAAACATACAAACATGTTCATGCACTGACACAGGAAGTGTGAATGAGAGGGATATATACTGTAACAGACAACGAGAACAGATACTTACATAAGGGCCTGCATCTAGTGAGTCTGCGTTGACAATGATGGGGGGAGGGTTGGCCTGTGAATATGAAGAGATACACATTATCTCAGTGTGTGAGGCTGGCAGCACGCAGACGTAATGCGGTACACACACTATCGCTTGGGAGCAAAATGAACGGATGCCACAGGAACAGGCAGTGAGTCTCCTTGGGAGTGAGACTGGGGAGAGAGATGAGGGTGGGGTGGGAGGGGTTGAAAGGGGGGTGTGAGGACTGAGAATGAGGACTGGGGCAGTGAGACTGCTGCTTATTAACCGTCACAGCCAGACATCCTGCGGTCACCTCATAAAACAAACCAGCTTGTGTTCCAGCTGTTGGCACAATACGTTTATCCCACATCTACTTCCACATAAGGAAAGCACGGAGCATCGTCTAGAAAAATGCATGAATTTTGGCTTAGTGCGCTACAAGGTTTATGGAATTACACACTCTACACAGTAATCTCCTCTCACGTCTGTTATTCTACATGCAAACAGGTAGTTTTTTAATCTCTCTTTATGCAAAATATCTGTCTGTCGCACTTGTTTAGTGAACAGAAAATAACTGGTGCTTGGTCTGAAATAAACAGCTCATTTAAACGCATCATGATGCCAATTTTTTAATAAACTTTTTCACCTTTTTCAGTTGTCCGGACGCAACAGTTTAACAGCAAAACAGACAGAGAGGTCAGTAACTGCTTGTTGCAGGGTTACTGTCAAAAGTTAAGGGTCAAACAATTCTTGAGTACTATGATGGGTTGAATTAGCTCAAAATATAATGAATACAGACTCTAAAAGCTATTTTAGATTTCTTGGTAATAATTTTTAGGGAAATTGTTTATTCTCTTGTTTTTGTTTCCGTTAAGGCTTTAAAAAAAGCTCAAATGTACAATAGGGAGCACGTCTTCCCAGCGGAAATATCAAAAGCAGCATTTAAAAAGCAAAACTCAAACAAGATTAAGTTTCACAGTCCAATTAACCTCCCAGCTCAGCTCTATTGTGCCACCTGGTGTTTCTTTGCCCACTTCAGGCATGCAGAGTGAAGTTTGATGGAGGGGGTTTGTGTTGGAGCAGCCGATGGCCATCCTTTACTTCTACTGATTTGATTGACTTGTGTGCGTGAGGGGGATGCAGACAGCGGTGCATGCAGGGCCTTATACTACCAGGTCCAGCACTGAGGAGAAAATCCTTAGCTGTCTGTCCTAACACTAACCTTGCCAACCTCTCCCAATCTCACCCTATCACCTTACAGTGTACAGTGTTTAAGCAGCTGAGTTTGACTGATTCTGAAGACGTACATATTACACATCGCCTATCATACATCTTTTCAATCTGAACTGTGTTACTGTGCCATTTCCACTTTATAATTTATAACTACCTGGAGTGATGCTGCTCTACTGCTCTACAATATGAGCACATATACACAGATGTACATGATATATAATTAGATATAAGGAAAGGAAATTCAGGAATCTGGGATTTGGTTTGATAAAATGAAACTATATAAATTATTTTTTCAGTTAACTTCAGTTTGTCACATTCATGATATAAAAATCCACTTTTACTTGCTCCATTGAACAGTTACCATCAATTATTTACAAAGGCATGGATATTAAAGGGACACACGCGGGATGAATGGTAGAACAAGATGAACATTTTTATATTGTCTTACTGTTTATATATATCTACTATATTTCTTAGCAGGTCCTCAGCTGTCTGGGGTGATACGCATTTTATTGTCAAGTCCTTGAATATACACTCACTCACACTTTATTAGGTACACATTGCTAGTACTGGGTTGGACCCCCTTTTCCCTTCAGAACTGCCTTAACTGATCATGGCATAGATTCAACAGGGTGCTGCAGACATGATATCATCACATATTTGCAGCATGTTTGTTATCTGCACAGCCATTGTATAAATATCCCGTTCTAGCACATCCCAAAGATGATCTACTGGACTGATATCTGATGGCTAAAAGCGGTTATCAGTAGATTGGTGCATAATTGTGGTCGGAAAGTGGTGGATATGGCCACAACAATACGTAGGTAGGCTGTGGTGTTTAGATAACTCAGTTGTTATTGAGGGGCCCAAAGAATACCCACCAACAACAACCTAAACTGTTGATACAAGGGACGATGGATCCACGCTTTTATATTGACTGAACCTAATTCTGAAACTGCCATCTTAAGTGCAGCAGAAATAGTCCACTTTTGGTGACTTGTTGCATTAGTACTTTAAGACTGTGGCCTTCTTCTGCTACAAGATGAGACGTTTATTCAGATATGCTCTTCTGCATTTCTTGGTTGTAAAAACTGGTTATTTTAGTTGCTGTTGCCTTCCTAAGACCTCGAAGCAGTCTCCTCTGACCTCTGGGATCAACAAGGCATTGTTGATTGCCCGAGAACTGCTACTCACTGGATATTTTCTCTTTTTACAGACTGTTTTCTGCAAATCTTAGAGATGGTTGTGGAGAAAAATACCAGTAGATCAGCGGTTTCTGAAATGCTCTGGCTCCAAAAAGCATGCCATGTTCAAGTAACGTAAATCACCTTTCTCCCTCATTCTGATGATCACTTTAAACTTTAAAAGGTCGTCCTAACCATGCCTACATGCCTAAATGCACTGGGTTTATGGGTTGATAGTTGCGGTGTAGATATTTGTGGTGATGAGCAGTTGAACAGGTGTACCAAGTGAAGTGGCAGGTGAGTGTACATCATGCTAATAAAGACATTTACTGTAAGATGTTAATCTACTTGAACAGCATTAAACAGGCCTCTGATTCAGGGTTTTCAATCAAGCTGCTTGTGGCTGCAACACATCTGTGTCTACAAAACAGTGGCTTGACACACACTCTTGACAAAAGAGTTCATCCTTTGATCAAAAGCGCCTTGCAAGATATGCATAATTTCATTCACACTTCTCAGTGTCAAGTTCCCTGGTAATGAAGGTAGGTCTCCAGACAAAGAGGAGCTGTAGTTTTAACCTGCTCCACTCAGTAATGATGTGCTATGACTCTGGACAGCTGTGGCCCTCCTCCTCCTCGTCCTCCCTCCCAGTCAGCACAATTGGGCCGTCGCTGTTATCTGCATATGGACTAACAGATGCTCACGTCTGTGCTTGTGTTTGCACATTTCTCATGAACGGCTTGAACTTTCCCTTCCCTTCATCTTAGACCCCAACTCAACAGAAGATTTTGGTGGTGAAAGCATGTTTTATGTCAGTGGCAGTCTACTGTGAATGAAAACCATGAAACCGCAGTTGACGAAACACAGCCTGGGGGCACCTCGGGGGAATACACTGGCTACTGTTGTCCCTTGGTGACTGACAGACTAAGCTACTGAATCCACTACTGAGACCACATGTGAACACACCTGTTACAGTATAATGCCTCCAGTGCTTATCGTAAGTAACACAGAAAACTAATGCTTCCCGAGGGGATCACCAAACCTACAACTCCGGCTGAAAGACAATAAACCTATCAGTGGTAAAAAATACAGCAGCATTATCCTGGCCTGGGATTGCTGCGTAATCCCTCTATCTGAATCTCGCATAACAAGCAAACAAAAAGGAATAATGGAAGATAATCTCACCCCGAGTTTGTTTAACATTTAGCAATTTACCCAGGTAACTTGGATTGGACTGGATTACTGCCCCGCCTCCCCCTGTGGACAACCTGCTCTCACCTCTATGCTAACCTCACGCACAGGAAACAAAACAGCTGGTTAAAGAAATCCGACCATAAAAGAGGATTAAAATACATAGCAGAGGTAGCATATAGCACTACCTGTGCTGTAATAGCCCCTTTAGAAGAACGACGTCTTACAGTATCTGGATTTTCCTACTGTGAGATGTAAGTTGAAAATCACACAAGTGAAGCGAAAATTCTGACTTTCTATGTCTATGCCTCTCCAAACACTCAGTGAGTCTCCTTTACACTGTAAAATCCACTCAATGTCTGAATTTTGCAGAAGAAATTTACATGGCAGCCACATTGGAGTTTTGTCTCGATCTATTATCTGGATAATTACATCCAATCCACGGGCATCTGCGTGTACACCTGGTACAATAAGCACTCTAATTATCACAATTCTTCCCACATGGGCAGTGTATTTTGTGTTTTTTTGTTAATAAACATCATTCTCCAGGTAAAAAGGAAACAACGGCATGATTGGTTTATTTTAATAATTTTTGTCGAAAAGCGGAACTTGCTAGTCGTAAGAGGTCATGTGAGGTGACCTTTTAACTTCCCGGGCAGATTGTTTTTTAATAATGTGCCCACAGCAGATGGCATTCACAGCTGGCTGGGGTCCAATCACATCGCAAGCCAGTTGATCTGATCACAGAGCTTTCAGTGAGCATTTGCACCTTTCATTTAAAAGTGCTTTTTCTCATCTAGAAAAGACACTTTGACGGTGGTCACATTAGAGTCGGGTTTCAACAAAAGCTCATTAAGGTGTATGAGTACGACTGCAAAGGACTTTTAACTCCAGACTTTAATCATTTATACAAACAGTTGCTGTTCTTTACATGTGTCCATTTACAGTGGTAAGTTCAGGCTGAAGCTTTAGCACAGTCCTGCAGGGACACCCATACAAACAAGCTGCGATATGGACACAAAGACCTAATGCGCACACGAGGACAATAAGTCCAGACTGCCTCCCCAGCATGAGCTCCTTCCAACAAGTCCACACTGACCACCGGGAGCGATGATCGCCACAGTGCTTTCTTTCTCTCGCTCCCGAGGTTCATCTGTTCATGATGGTTTCCTATTCACCGATCTATCATCTTACTCTTCTGTCAGTTGCGACTGTGGCATCTGTCTCTTGTCTCTCAGCATCACAGAGCTTGTGTATCATGTTCTGGTGGCACTGCACCACACAGCACTCAACGTGGCTGCAGACCCTCAGGACAGCAAAGCTACACAGACTCCCAGTGAACCTTGGCAAGTGCAGGGCACAGGCTTCATCCAAATTGTTAAATAATCAATGTGTTCCCATGGTAACCAGCGCTCGCACAGCATTGGCTTAGCCACCTCCCCT